TCCCTTGGTGGGGAGTTTTCTTTTCCAACAGTCATTCTTCCCGGGGGAGCTTGATATAAGTTATCTCTTGGGGGGAGATCCTTTTCCTAGCAGTGATTTTTGGGTGGATAAACCCCGGGTTTTGTAGGTTCCCCATTGGGGGGGAGATTCTGTTCCAAATAGAGTTTTTTTTTTTGGTGAGGGAAGATCGTGTATCTTTGGACTCTGACAAACAGTCCCCTTTAAAGGAAATTTTATGGTTAGGTTTGGTGGGGGGTGGGGTTTTTGGAGCAGCTTTTTATCACTGTGGTGGTGAGACCTTAGTAGCAGCTGTGATCAGGTGGTGGTGAGCCCTTAGTGCACTGTGATCAGGGGGTGGTGAGACCCTTGTGCAGCTGGATCACTGGTGGGGGTGAGCCCCTTAGTAGCAGTGTGACCCTGGGGGTGGTGAACCCCGACGGTAGCTACTTTCTTTTGTTCCTGGAAGGGTTTTTTCAGTGTTTTTTGGCCTTTTTAAATATCGACGTCGTACTCACTCTAAGGTAACCTTCCTTCCGCCAAGATCGCTTCGGGGTCCCTTTTAAACTCTGGGGTTTTAGAAAATTTCCTTTATTTTTTTACAAGGCCAGCCACTGACCCCTGGAGTAATTAAAGACCCATGGAAAAACTAAGATCTCCCCCGAACTTTTAAAATGCTGATAGACCTGGGATGGGTTCTTCCGAAATCGATTTTTTTGCATACACTGCCCTGTTGATTTCCATATTTTTTTTGCCTGTTGGATGATTACCCGGAGTTCCCGGTGACCTAAACGGAAGGGACAATCACCAAATATCATCGCTGGAGCTGTGAGAACCCCATTTATTTTGCTCTGAGACCTTTTGGGAAAAAAAGAAGTTCAAGGCAGGCAAAGAAGCTATCAATCAAATTTTTCTTCAAATTTCTCTTATTCGATTTACTGAATTTTCCCCTTATTACTAGTGTTCAGTTTAAATTCCCCTCAAATTTTTGTTAAGAATTTGGTAGGCATATACGAAAATTTTTTGTTTTAAATTTTGCCCCGCGCTGCTGACTGATGATACACAAATTTTTCGGGAATTTTTTAAAATTTGTGATAATAACTATTTTTTAACCTGAGGAATTCTCTCACAGGATAATTAAAATATACCCGGGGTTGACCTAGTATAGTATTCATTTTATAGGATGAATGTTGAAGTGGGGATTTTTGTGTAGTGATAAATGATGAGTAGTGATGGATGTTGGTATTGGAATGTTGGTAGGATGGAGTTGTGTATGATGGTGGTGTGTGATGGTTGGTAGTGTGGATTTGTGTAGTGATGAATGTTTTTGTGATGGTTGTGTAGTGATGGATGGGTAGTGAGGTTGTGTAGTGTGGAGTTGTGTAGTGAGATGTTGTGTTTCCCTGGAGTTTACCGGGAGAGATTTCCCGGGGTCAACGCCCCCGGGCCCGGTTGTGACCAGGCTCCGGGTGGATCGAGCCTGATCAACGGGCTGTTGCGCGGCTGCACGCAAACCAAGTACGAGCCACACGCGGCTGATCAGGAACTGACTTAGGGCTTGTCCAGTGCCAGCTTGAAGACTGCCAGGGGTCTGTTGGTAATCCCCCTTATGTGTGCTGGGAGGCAGTTGAACAGTCTCGGGCCCCTGACACTTATTGTATGGTCTCTTAACGTGCTAGTGACACCCCTGCTTTTCATTGGGGGGATGGTGCATCGTCTGCCAAGTCTTTTGCTTTCGTAGTGAGTGATTTTCGTGTGCAAGTTCAGTACTAGTCCCTCTAGGATTTTCCAGGTGTATATAATCATGTATCTCTCCCTCCTGCGTTCCAGGGAATACAGGTTTAGAAACCTCAAGCGCTCCCAGTAATTGAGGTGTTTTATCTCCGTTATGCGCGCCGTGAAGGTTCTCTGTACATTTTCTAGGTCAGCAATTTCACCTGCCTTGAAAGGTGCTGTTAGTGTGCAGCAATATTCCAGCCTAGATAGAACAAGTGACCTGAAGAGTGTCATCATGGGCTTGGCCTCCCTAGTTTTGAAGGTTCTCATTATCCATCCTGTCATTTTTCTAGCAGATGCGATTGATACAATGTTATGGTCCTTGAAGGTGAGATCCTCCGACATGATCACTCCCAGGTCTTTGACGTTGGTGTTTCGCTCTATTTTGTGGCCAGAATTTGTTTTGTACTCTGATGATTTAATTTCCTCGTGTTTACCATATCTGAGTAATTGAAATTTCTCATCGTTGAACTTCATATTGTTTTCTGCAGCCCACTGAAAGATTTGGTTGATGTGTAGTGATGAATGTTGTGTAGTTACACAACCCAGGGCAACATGGGTTTAGAACAGGTCGCTCCTGTCTGTCTCAACTATTGGATCACTACGACAAGGTCCTAAATGCACTAGAAGACAAAAAGAATGCAGATGTAATATATACAGACTTTGCAAAAGCCTTCGACAATTGTGACCATGGCGTAATAGCGCACAAAATGCGTGCTAAAGGAAT